CAATCAGTCCCCCATGCCTTGTGTCACCCCTAACCACTTTTCCATAAATATCCCTTCTTTCTTGCTGTTGAAAAGGTGAATTTGAGATTTATTTCTCCCATCTTCTTGCTTGGCTGCCTTGCAAATAAACTTTTTTTTTTTTTTGCTGTAAAGACCATGTCAGTATGTGGCTTGCTGTGCATTAGGCAATGGGCCTTTTTCAGTCACATTACAAAGCATCTCTAAATTTTCCAAAATATGTAAAAAACATAACATATAGTTAATACATTAGATTTCATATAGTATAATATATCATAGTGCATATGTAATATATATATTACATAAAAATACATAAAAGGCATAGTCTGAGGTATAAGGGTTTGAGGACATGCTAAGTGATCTTAATTTGGGGCCTATCATTTAAAAACTTTTCAGTAATAGAATTTTTTTCTCCAAGTAAAATCCTGCAAGACAGCCACCGCTTGCGCCCATGTGGCCCTCCCCTTTTCTGGGTCAGTGGCTTTGGAACCACCACCTTGAAACTGCAGCTCCATGGGGACACTGCAAAACCACCAGCCCAGATGTGCTGCTGGGTCCTTTCTCGCCCACACATCCTACAGCCTCGATACTCCCACTTGAAACCTGCCTCGGGAGGTCACAATTTGGGCACTCAGATCCCTTTGCTCAAGTGGGCTGAGCCTGCACTTGCCAGGCCCATCATAACTCCCATGTTTGGACGAGAGTCGGCCCTTCCCACAGCCACAGCTGGGCCGAGCTTAATCCACGATACAACCGTGGCAGAACTCACAGAAAGCCCACAGCTCATCGCTTGTCTTAGCACTGACTGCTTTAAAACGATTTCCAAACCTGGAGTGTGTGGTCCACAGTCCTCTGAGGCAGTGACTCATTCCATTGGGTGGTTCAATTTAAGGAATCAATGCAAAGATATTTGGGCTGCAAGTGGCGAGGAACCGAGCAGGAGGGTGCAGGAGGAGGGCTGGGGCAAGCCCAGAGGCTGGGAGCCAGTGTGCAGGAGGGGGCTTTGCTAGGAGAGGCAGGGCCTCGACACCCAGAAGCAAGGCTGAGCAGCTGCCAGGTGGATGAGGAAGGAGAGGCCGCTGGGCCCCGTCAGATTTCCCTGGAAGCAGACACAGGCGACTCCCACTGGGTGCGCTGCTGCGACAGCCTCAGGGCTGGCCCAGAGCAGAGCCTTGCTGTACCCATTTAGCATGGGGTTTTCCTAATCCTGCCTGGCGGGGGGTCCCCGAGGTGTTAGCTGGGAACACCAATCCCATGCTCTTTCTTGGAGGCTTCCGTCTAATGGGTCTGGAGCTCAGGAGTTGGGGACCCTGTGGCCAGGCAGGTCGGGAAATGGATGCAGTGACTCTAGTCTAAATCTGCTCTAAGTCTCTCAATGACACTGGAAAGCAGATTTTGTTGCTTTACCAGGCTGGGACGCTGAGGCCAGGAGAGGCAAAGTAACGTGTTCAAGGTCAAGGGTGAGCAGAGGCAGACAAGCAGGAGCAGCCGGTCTGCTGACGCGTCCCATAGCCAGAGCACTGGGAGTGGGTTTGCGAGGAGGGAAGGGATGGGGGCTGGTGCCTGTCGTCTGATTCCTGCACGGGGCACACCCTGCTCAGGGGTGTCAGACACCATGGCATGCGTCAGAATCACAGCCACTTCTAGGAGGGCCAGGGCCTGGCCGAGGCCGCCTGAGCTCCTGCTGGCAGGGCTGTGGCCTGACATGCAAGAGCTTAGTGCCTGCGCTCGGAGCTGTCAGAGAGAAAGCATGGTTTAATCCAGCCCCAAATTATCTGGTTGTTTCCTGCCCCAGTGAATGGCTTTCATCAGGAATTGAATTATTCTTTGAGCACTTTCCAGAAACAGAGGGATGCTGCTTTCTGTGGTGATGAACGCGCAGGGTATGAATAGCCCCTGATGCACACACTTGTCAGAGGGAAACTCCCAGGACAGGGGACTCCACCCTGCTCAAAACCTTGGTCACCAGCAAGACCCCTTGCCCACAGATTCTCCTTCTGTGACATCCAGCTGGGTTATTAAGACTCTTGCTGGAGAACAAATAGCATCCTCCCCCTCTGAAAGAGAAAGAGAGAGAGAGAGAGAGAGAGAAAGAGAGAGAGAGAGAGAGAGAGAGAGAGAGAGATCTCCACCACAGAGCCAGGTCTCCTACTTCTATTATGAGGGGGAATTTATTTACACAAGAGATTTCCATTAAAAACAGAACAGAACACAAGACTGGCGGTGCCTGAGTTCAGACGAGAGCTGGTCGCCTCTGGGAGCTGGGGCCTGCACCTGCCTTTTCAGCCCCAGCCTCCCCACCCCTGCTGTCTTGCTCCCCCCACAGGGCGCCAGGGAGGCCGACAGAACAGACCCCAAGCCCAGTGCTCCTCACCTGTGGGAATTCTGCTCCCAGCAGGACATGAGGCAATGCCTGGGGACACTGCCAGTTGTCACAACCAGGTGGGTGCTGTGGGCGTCCAGCAGTGGAGGCCAGCGAGGCCGCTCCTATCCCCCCTCACTCAGGACAGCCCTGCAGCAGACCCTCCACCCCGAGTGTCAGTGACGCGAGGCCGAGCCCTTGCTTTTCTCCTCCCACTTCCTCCTGCCTGTTTCTCCTCCAACCATCAACAGTTCAACTGTACAGCCAGCGTCCTTGCGAAGCAGGTGGATCTTGGGTGACTGGCCACGGAACCCGTCGTCTTCCCTATGGAAACTACCGACGTGGGCAAGGCCACCTGCCCGCTCTGCCCGGTTCTCTGCCACTGTGGTCCTTCCCTCCTCCCCGATGGATGGGGTGGGTGCTGCTGCGTCACGTCACAGATAGGACATAGGTGTGCTGAGGATTTAAACTGCCCAAGAAAGCACAGTCTTTATCTCTGACCCGCCTGACTCGGGGCCACGAGCTTCACTCCTCCCTTCCCCTGTCACCTTCCATGTTCCACGTTTTTACTCAGAAAGGAAAATAAGTCATCGGGATCAGATTCAGAACCCAGCAGTGGGGCTGCTGTCAACTTCTGGGTTGAGCACATCCCATCCCCTAGCTGGAAGTGTTCCGTGGTCAGCCAGGAGCCAGAGGAGATGTGGTGGCCCCGGCTCCGTCCATGCAGAAGGCTGTGCCCCGTTCCTGCCTCCCCTCCACGCCCAGCCCGGTGCTGGAAGCCACCCCGTGGATGCACACGAGCGGTCACAGGACCCAGGGGATCATGCAGCATGTCTGTGTCATGTGAACGATGCCGGCCTTTATTAGGTGGCGTGTGCAAGCTCTTTCCAAACTTCTGCTGTGACCTGGAGGAGTTTCAGCTAAGGAGAAGGGAGGCGTGTGCGAGAGTGGACAAGCGGGGTGGGGGCGTCCTCCTGTGCAGCAGGACCCTTCCATGCAGACCCTCGGCCCCTGAAACATGGTCCGTGTGCTGAATACATCTGTGAGCATAATCTGTGCACTGGGGGCCATGGGGCCACCATGCCCCTCATCCCCCAGGTGGCTGCAGTCTCATTCCGGTCTCAGCAGGCAGCGAGGATCTGTGGAGGCCACCCAGACCATCTGCAATCAATAAGGCTGGCCAGTTTCTTCCAGTTACCACATAAACATGTTGGAAAGAACTAATATGTGTTATCCTATTTGTGCTTTTCTTTCCCTCTGTCCAAAGAATGGGTTTGAGGTTTTAGGGAAAGGTGATCTCGTCTCTTACTGTGCAATGTAAACTACGGCACACAGGGTTAAACTGGGAACGAAATGGCAGCAGCTCTTCATGGAGGGTTTCAAGCTTGAGAGATACGCTTTAGAATTCTGACCTAGATTCCTCTCTCTGAGAATCTGGAACAATTTGTGCCCATGCTGATGGAAAGCAAATGGGGTCTCAGGATCAAATTCACCAGTCATCATTTAAAATCACCTTATTTGTCCCAGGATATCAGGATGACACAAGGCTGGCAGCAATGTCAAAGCAAACTTCACATCACATGAATGTATGTGAGGAAACTCTGAGCAGGTGCATTAGGACTCTATTTATACTGGAAAGACCTTCAGATAAGTAAGGAAAGGGCAGAGAGAGTAAAACATAAATGGTGACTGGATGATGGAATAGGAAACTGATTCTCATTTGGGGCCACAGACCCTAACATCTGCTTTTTGCAGACAGTTTTGGCTCCAGGCATTTCAAAATTAATACGCTCCAATAAGGCAAAGAGCACGTTTACAGGCTCTTCCTGAAATAGCCAGGCATAAACGAGCAGAAGCAGAGTGGTGATGGGATGGATGGAGCAGCAGAAGGAATTTAAATGATTTCCAGTGCATCGCGCTCCGTGTGATGTGTCAGCAGTTCATGGAGTGGAGCTCGGCTTACAGCCCGCCCCACCACGAGTGGTCCCCCAAAAGTATCTGAGTCGATAAGACTGCTGAACCAAAGGGTGATTATTCATTCTACGAAGAGTCCTTGTTGGGTTCTTGGGAAGGGTGAGCTCCTGGTGTCTGTAAGATGGAGGTAACTTGATAGGAATCTTTCTTTTGGCAATGGAAACACAGACTGGCCTGCCACGACAGCTCCCGAACCCCTGACGTCTACTCTCTGTGAAATTTGGCAAAATACTCCACCTGCAGGCAAGAAGACCACGTGGGTCTGGAATCCTACACTCTGCTCCTGCCAGTGCACGCAACAGCAAGGTCAGCGGACTCCCCTGCACACTGCGAGGCCACCCAGTGACTCTGGGCTCTCTTCTTATTGCTCTGTGCCTCAGTTTCCCCTAGGAGTCCCTCTCACCTCACAGGACAACGATTGATGATGTGCTTGACAGGGTTTCAAAATGTAAAAAGATCAACAAAAGCATAAACTACCAGTATTAGTAATGAATACTAGCAGGAATAATAAAATTAATCCCAATAACATGTACTAAGTAGGCGTATGGAGGGGCCTGTCCTTGGACGGTGCTCCGGGAGCAAAGAAGTTGATAAGCAGACGTCCCTCTCGCGGTGGCTGTGTGTCCAGGCAAGCACCATTCTCTGCCCGTGGAAGTGTTTGTTTTACCCCCGGTCTGACTGCGAGAGGGACTGGGCTGGGCTGGAGGCCTTCCTCGGCCTGGCTGGAGCAGCCTGTGCAGTGATGAGCTTTTATGAAGCTTACTTTACTTTGGGTTCGTGCTAATTGTGTGTTCTCAGCACTGCTTCAGCCACGGGGGGAAAATAAACACAGCTTGTGTCTGCTGGACTCCATCACACCCTCTACAGAGGTTTTCAGTCTATGATTAACTTGTAATTCTCCACTGGCTTTCAGAAGGCTTGCCACCCCAGCACACGCTCCTCTGCTCGCCCCAAAGCAGAGGTGAAGGCAGAGGGGACACACAGGCTTCGCCCCACTTCTATCGTCCACAGACGTGATCTGCTCCAGCAGTTCACCCAAGACCTCGGGAACAGCTGCTGCATGACAGGTGTTTACTTAAAAAAAGATCTGCTGGCAGTTTGGGGTCAGAGAAGGAAGCAGAAAGCAAAGCAAATATGCTTG